ACAACGATGTATAGACTTAGCTAAATAAGAATTTCGGATTACTGGTACAAAGCACGCCTGTACGCGCTTCAGTCCGGATTCGACCCGCAAGCTTCATCGCGGTTCTGCAAAGAAACTCAACCCAAAAGTGTTGAAGAGCTCCATGCATTCAAAAAGGTGGGATCTGGTTGATTTCTTGACAAATAACTTTGACTCTTTCTAAACAGTATGCAGTGGTTTGCTACTTAAACAGTGAATACCTTCTCTTAAATGGTACAGAGAACATTATATTGCAATGTCTCAATAGTTTTTGACTTAAAAGTCTGCATCACATTGTAGCTAGTCCAGTTGTCTTCAATGCTGATCTAAATATAAGGATTGTGTTTAATATCAGGAATAATTTACATTTTTGAATTAAGTAGGATAGAAGAAAGGGAGAACGGGATTTTTTAGATGTTATGCACAGCTGCTGTCACCAATGAGTGTTATTTTGATCTCTAAATTTTTATATTTTAGCCGCACATTCTGTCGCACTAGAAATCATACACGCTGTTAATGATCAATTAAACTCACAAATGGTTAGAGAACATCTGTGTTGGGTTCACTACACCATCTATATCTTCTCATTAAAGATAAGGTATCATAATGTAATGTTTTGCTTTTATGTACCTCCAATTAATTTTCTGTAATCGCAAAAGAAAATGAAGACATCACAGTTGAACTGTAAATAATATAGTGGTTCTTACAAAACCTTATACACGAGGACGCATTTCTGGAGATATCATTCATTCTCCACCACTGTGCAAGCGCCATCTGTTGGACTGCAATGGCTGACCACTAAAAACAAAATCATATAGCCTGCCCTATAACAAATCCACATTCCCTCCTCTTCTTTAGGACCTTTCGGTTACCTTGACCTGTGAAAATCTCAGCAAGACATTTATGATCAGATTGCTTATTACTTTAATTAATAGCTTTTTTACATTATTGATGGGCGAGTCTTATTCATCCTTCATCTCATATGTTCACACAAACAAAAAAGTAGTCCTAGTATGATTATGCATTATATAAATATTTCACATTTTATAGCAGTGCATCTTGTTAAGGTAATCAGTCAAGGGGATTTAATGAAGCAAATGCATTGACATACGCTTGTTAGATCTCTCAACTGGTGTCACATCACATATTGGCTATGTTTTAAAAACCCTAGGCATTGATTATGTATGCTGATTCTTAGGTGCATGCATTTACGCTGACAGAGACAGAACACTATGTAACAGGTGATCATACATTATACCGTTCCAATTAATTGGGGGTGGTATGGGATTCTCTTCCGTTTCTAATTTGAAGGTTTGGACAGAGGCATCCATCCTTTATGATTTCTTCCTACTGTATAAATAAAGCATAAATTCCAAATTCAATTTTAATCAGAAACTGATTCTCTCTTTGACATTTAAATGAGTAGGCTATGTAACACAGGGGTGTCCATTCAGTCTGCTCCTGATGGGGGGGCTACTGTCCTGCAGAGTTTAGCTCCATCCCCAATTAAACACTTGAACCAAAGAAATCAAGGTCTTCAGAATTATTAGAATCTTCTAGGCATGTAGACTGGGACAAGTTAGAGCTAAACTCTGCAGGACTTTGGCCCTTCAGGACCAGAATTGGACCTGCTATAACCCATTTACTAGCTATGTAAGCATGTATATTTAACTACTTGGACAGTCTAATGAAACAAACTGTAACATTTTCGTCATGTATAAAAAATAAAAAAGTTTATTGAAAGTATGTTTTATTTCAGATTACAAGTAGTAACAATGTAGTAACATTTTATTGTTAATATAGGCCTAAAATAATTCATTCATATGTATTTGCACATTTTAAATTAGCCTTTAAAATATGACTCAGTCAACTATTTCTTCAAAATGGGGCTGTTTTTTTTTCAACCGTACTGTGATCACTAACATTTATTGTGATTATGATTTTTATGAGACAGACAGAGCAATCTTTCTTGGATACATTAATAATGGACGCTTAATTATTATGTATACTAAATCTGGACATGTGACTATTTACACTAGCCATGCAAAAATCAAAACAAGACAGTCTGTAGCCTACTTTCATTTGTAGTGAACAACTTTGTGTGCAATACATCAACTCTTTGTGCACAAATGGGATTAAATGGTCAGGCTAATTGGTGAATTTGTGTATAAGACAATTAAATGCTATTTAATTACCATAGTAATTTTAGAACTGGATTTAAATACATTTTCAGTCTCCCTTTGATTCTCTCCGAACTGAAAATGCATACAACTGCACAGGATTAGACTTTATTAATTTAGGCAACAATGTGTTCACTTTCATGAGTTCGCAGTCTACATTGCAAACGGGTGAAGTACTTTTCAAAGCTCAGGCGTAATTTGAAACTAGTGAGGGGTTGGTGGGGAAACAGTGACTTCTTATTGGTGCACTTCGCAGTGTAGGCTGCACCCTCTTGACACTAGCGAACTGGAAGATCGATGGCACGTTTCTAGTGAGGGTTGGGAATGTGTGAACACTGAGAATACCTGACAAAAAGCAGCGATATTTGTACGACGGAAGGGCGGGCGGCATGATTTCGTTGTGTTGCGGTTCTCCAGCAACTTTTAATCAGTACGGAAAGTCGCAGCATTGCTCTAATTCGCCTTTCCTCACATTGCTGGTGTAAATAGGGAGAGGAGAGGAGCGCTGTCCCATGCTGGATGGATGGTTATGGGGAAAGGAGCAGCACCATCGGCGCTACAAGTCTGCCAGTTCGTTGTTGTGTTTCTCTGTCTGTTTCCAGCAGGTAAGAAAAACATTTATCATGGAGAATCTAATTCGAGTTTTAGGACTGGAAATAAGGATGTTTATTTGGAATTTATTTGTCGAACTAATCGCTACAAAACAGCAAACACTCAAAGCAGTTAAATATGTTGAAATAACGCAGACAAATGCATGCTTTGTTACTTAGCAGCAAATTAAACGCAGTTGGGTGTATTTTGTTTAGTCATGACCCAGTTATGTCTGGTAAAAGTTAGGCTATTTATCTTCTAAAACATGCCAGTGCGCATTCCTTCATTATGCACGCTTGAATAATGTTGTTGTTTATAACTTTCAAGTTTACGCTACACATAATACATTTAAGTTAAAGGTGTTACATTTCCATCTAAACTTTTTCGCATTAAAAAATATATGCGAAAAAAAACAAGTATGTTTACATAGCTAGAGTGCTGGTTTTAGTTGTTTTAGAGCCATTGCTAAAAGCGTGGCGATCTGAAGGTTCGGTTAAATTCTGCTGCACTACCGCAGTGTTTCCCACAGCTCTGGCTAAGACGTGCTCTTGTGTTTGGGGGAGGGGAAGCGAACCCTCCACATCTATAAAATGCCTTCGCTGGGCTTGTGGGAGCAAAATTTCCAAAACAACATTTCACAAACACAGAAAAGCCTTTTAAAGCGTGTGAAGACCCGGTCAAAAGTTAAAAAAGGTTCTTAAATGGACCGTTAAATATTACTTAAAATCAAAAAATGGAAAGTGAAAAGTTGAAAAGTTGTCTGTTTAGATATTTTAAATAGATAGCCTATGTGTATGGTTAAATTCACAAAAATATCTGAATTTACAGTACTGTAAATACAGTAGGCTATGCCTTGACTTTACAGTGAACAGTAGTAGGAAACCTTAAAGTGTAGGATCACATACATTATCCCTGTCTGCACTACACTATTAGTTTTGTGTTTATAGATTAACTGTAGCCTAATATTTTGATGTCCACAGAATGAATTTAACACTTATGTTCCCAGCATACACTGTGGCATGAATGAATTTTGCTGTTGCTGTTGCTTTAAGTTACTTGTTTTGGAGTGTTCAAGTTTTTTTTATGTAAATTTGAAAATTGATTGTCACCATTATTGATATTTTTATATGCCGAGTGTTTATACCTATATGGTATTAAATGATAAATGACCTTTTTTATTGTGGAAAATTACTGTTAAAGTCCTGGCATTTTTTTGAAAAGTAGTATTTATTGCAAAAAGAAGTGTCTAATGTGTGTAAAAAAAAGAGTGCAATTCCTAATTCCTGGTTTGTGTGATTTAGGAGTCTTGTTGTTTTAACTAAGTGCTCAGTCCATACAGGAAACTGCTGATATTTTCTCTGCATTAGTTGGCCCTCATACCTCATAAATTATCATTGTTTTGCTTTACGGCCCATTGGTCAAACTGGGGAGCTGCCTTAGAATTGGCCAGCTGTGGAGCCTAAGGTGAAAACACAGGACTTAAATTTTGTGTGTCCGATTGCCGAAAGCTAATTTCACTATGCCTGATGTCCTTTTGGCTGCTGTAATTGTGTGACCAGGGTTGAATGTTTTTCAGAGTTTTTCCTTGTGGCAGAAGAACACAAGAACTTTGTACTCAGTCACATTATGAAACAGAGCAATTTTCCACCATCAAAAACCTCTAATGATTCCCCATTAAGTAGATGGACCCACAGTTTTTTCTTGTAGGAGGGAAAGGGATCGTGATATTTTTGTTAAGCTGACTGTTTTTTGAATAAATGACAGTGGCTCAGAGATCATTCAGCTTGGACAAATGCACAAACAGGTCTGCAGGCAGATGCAGCACCTGTGCAAACAAGACATCCCTTGTTTATTGATAGACCCTTTGCTTTAAACAAGCTCTCGCTGTCCTGCGAAAAACTAGGGTGGCACTAACAGGAGGTAGATCATTGCACCATTAGTGATTATAGGGTGGTTTGGTTTAACTGAGTCTCCAGACATAGACACACATGCACACACTCATATGCATCATTTGCAAGATCAGAGCAGCCTGGACATCCCGAGGTCACATATGTGTCAGCAGTCCATTGGCCTCCTAATGGCAGCTTGCTGGAGGAGTCAGAAGTAGGAGCAGCCTTCTCTAATTAGCCCCTGTGCAGGCTGTGCTCTCTAGCTGGCGCGAGTCCACTCCCTGGAGCTGAATCCAGGGTTCACAGGCAGGCTCTGAGCAGCATGAATGGATTGTCTTTGTGTCTGCATACTGAGGCCTGCTGTAACATAGACTGGACCTGTGTTTCTCCAGAGTGCGTTTACATTGGCCCCCTGTATCTTGAGCCGCTGCTGAAATGTGACATTACGAAAGCTTCTGGGCTTGGAGGGTCTGTGCTACACAGTCCTCTGGTTTTATAAAGGCAAGGCTCGGTTATGCAGAATGGAGTACTTAGTCACCATCTTTTGCCATATGCAGTGGTGCATAAAACACTTTATGTCTGTGGTTGCTGTTTCTTGGCTGGTTTTGATCGAACAAATATAGCATTTTCAACATCAAAACTTTGTGCACTTTAAATGTTTTCTAGCCATCTTTTTCCCCCTCTAACTGTTTTGTTTTAAAGTATTTATGTCCAAAACCATAATTGATCTTGAATACTGTTCTCACTTGTTCTCACTCTCACTTTTACCACAGCTAACAATCATCTTCAAGAACTTTCAAGAATGTGTAGACCAGAAGATGTACCATGCGGAGACTGACGAGCTTCCTGCTGCATTTGCTGATGGTTCAAAGAATGGAGGCGACCGCCATGGGGCCAACACCTTACGCATAGTAGAGAAGGTGCCTGGACAACACATGGAGATCCAGGCACGCTATATTGGCACCACTATTGTAGTTCGGCAGGTTGGCCACTACCTCACCTTTGCGGTGCGGATGCCAGAGGAGGTTGTGAATTCGGTGGAGGACCAGGACAACCAGGATCTTTACCTCTGCCTGCATGGGTGCCCTGCAAACCAGCGAATAGACTTCAGGACCTTCAGAGCACGGGCGGCAGAGAGCCAAGTCTTAGGCAGGGGACAGCCAGGTGCTCCTATTAATGGCTTCACATACCAGTCAGCCATGGCCAAGTGCAAAGAACGTCTACCAGTTGAGGATTTGTATTTCCAATCCTGTGTTTTTGACCTGCTATCTTCTGGGGACATCAACTTCACCCTGGCGGCCTACTACGCCTTTGAGGATGTTAAAATGCTCCACTCCAACAAAAACAAGTATCACCTCTTTGAAAAGGATACAATATTCAGCTCTGCCTCAGAAAAAAGGGGTTTTAGTGTCCTAATCCTCATCAGCCTTGTTATCGTACTGTTGTGGACTGACTCGTTTTCCATTCGTCTGTAGTCCCCATTGGACATCCTTGTTAGATGGTTGTAAGATGCTGTATGCATGTGAAATGCTGCTCTCACCGTGTTGTGTTCCATCTACCAGAGGCTGGGCTTCTCAGCTAGAGCCTGAGCTTCTGCTGAGGGCTTTCACACTTGTGTGTCTTGTGTCACACCATGGACTCATCTCTCATCATCATCACATATGTTCATTCATCAGGCCAGAGCAGAAGCGTTCCTGGAGATCCACCCATCTCTGTGGTCATCCTGCTGATCTCATAAGTGCTTCATGACAGAGAACGCAGCGCTGAGAGGTCCTGAGACCTGAGTCAGATTAAACCACCCTTGTTCCCACCAGGGTGATGTGCCACTGACAGGAGTGAGAGGGGGGTGATCCTTTGCAGAAAGAAAAGCTTGGAGATGTTCTTCAGTTCACTTGATGCCAAGTGAGAGGTGAAGTATGTCTCCCAGAGCCAGGCTGGAGGACATGACAGGAGCTTTTATTAATGGAGGGCCGGCAGGAGTTCTCTCTTTGAAGAAGCTCCAGCTTCGGAAAAATGTTAGCTTTCTAGAGAAAACCTGCTGGCCGAGGCCATGTCAGACTAGTAAGTCATATTGTCTACAGAGGAGATTAACAGGCCATAACATCAGGCCTTTTGTATAGTTTGTCTATGTGTGTGTGCAAAAGAAAGATGTGTTATTTTGTGTGTGTGTGTGTGTGAAGTGTTTCATAATATCTGTATATTGCACCCAGGGTCCTAATGTAGCTCTGGTGTGGTGGTTCATGGGTCAGTAAGAAGTTTTACTGCCTGCCAAGAGCTCTTTCCTGCATTTCATATAAAAAGGGTGTCAACCATTGTGTCGAACAGACTTTAAACTACACCCATACTGCTTAGGTGTTATAATTTCGGAAAATATTTATTGAATTCCCTCCATTGTCAAATTGGGTGTTCAAAATCAGCCTGAACAATTATAGAGAATAAGTTTCTTTACTTTGTTCACAAAGTAATAGTCATTGAGTAAAAAATCCACATCATACATTGGTATAGCCCAAGACAGAGTTGTCTCTGAGCACACTTGCTTCAGATAAACACGTTCGTGGAAAAATATTCATGTCAGTTTGCAGTAGGTAGCATAACCATCAACGTATATATCAAGGAGAGAGCCAAGTTCCTCCATACAATGTTTGCAGTTTAAGATGGGACCCACAAGGCAGGTCCATCAATCATCCTTACTGCTTCTTAAAGAGCAACGCCTTGCTCTCCATTTCAAAAGGGTGTCGACGTGGCTGTGCTGTAGGCCCCGTTTAACTCTCGACTCTGTAGATCTGTGAATTTATGGCAGAGGCATTTTGCCAAAGAACAAGCCATGGTGCCAACAATTTCCCAAACAGCTGAATTTTCTCTCTCTCTCTTTCTCATGGGACCTTTTGTGGTTCACTTAAGTATTTGGGCTCAAACCAGATGTCCTGATTGTGTATAATATTGGAAGGTGCTGCTAACTACAGTGTGGTGGATGGACCAGTGCTGGAGCTATTGAGAACATCTGCCATGCATTTCTTGTGACATTTGAAATGGGGGCATTTGCTCTTCAGCCATTAGCAGGCTCAGGATTACTGGCACTCAGTATTGTAAATAGCAGTAGTAATATTGGCGAGCTAAAGTCAAACGATACATAGCACCACTATTTTGAAGAGTGAAATTGCACCCTTGGTAGCCTAAAGCCTGTGTTATACTTTCCGCGTGCGCGAGTCTGCTACGGTCCGCTATGGTGTCCGTGACGTAAAAATCGTCATCGGCAAGTGTGCGCAGACATCCGCGTGCCTCCCATTTTTTGTGACTGCGCAGACAAGTACGCGCGGTCAGTAGGCTGCAAAAGCACCAACTGCACATGCGCAGGCTGTGTGAAGAAGCCTGTTGCTACTCAAACCTGTACAATCCGTCAATAAAACAATATAAAGACAGCCAGATGTGCAATAATTCTGGGCAATTGTTTGTTCACATGTTTGTTGCGGAGCGGATCATCAGCGTATGCCTTCGGTAGTATAAGTACAAGTAGTCCGCGTCCGTGCTGTCTGTGTACACGTCCGGATTGCTCATGCGGAAAGTATAACACAGGCTTAATAGTTCTATAGGCCATGTCTAGAGACTGTTGGAAAGGTCTTTATGGAAGATGAAGCCCACATAACTTCATGTTCATCATGTCCCATTTCTTCTAAGAACATCTATCACAACTGTCTTTTATCAGTGTTTGTTTTCTCTTAGTAAAAAGTTTGAGCTATGAAAATATGGTTTAGATATTAATGATACATAAAGAATCCTCTGAGAGACTTCACAGTAATTTATTCTTACACTGTAAAGTTTTGCGAGCCTTACTACTGCTAAGAAAGCTTGTGTTGTCGGTGCAGTTCATGGCTTTAAAGAGACTTTTGAAAGCATACAAAATGATTGTAATGACTTTTGTGTTTAAGTGTGCTTGTGTTGTCAGTGCTTTTTGGATTTATATGTGTAATGTGACATGTATATAAGTTTGTGTGATTTGGCAAATAATATTTTGTGCTGATTTTTTGGTACATCAGAGGGTGTGGTCAAATTTACCTTTAAGTAAAGGGATATTATGTACACAAGCACCACAAAAACATAAGATAAGGGACTTCTATCAACAATCTAATTTGGAACCAGAGTAAAACAGACATCATGTCCTTTAACTAAATACTAAGTAGGAAACGTGTGACTTGCGGTGTTAATGTGTTGTTTATTACAAAAGCACTTTATGTTTTTATTCTCTTTAACCTAGCTCTTACTTGGTTTTAACTTGATGGTGAAAGAGGTTATCAAACTTGTAATGCTAAAAAAATAAAAGTGAATGATAACATTTTCAAATGTATTAACATTGAATGGGAGATACCAGACAGCTTAGTCTGTTTTTGTATGTAGGACTAAAGCGGTGCCACACACCACCTGTAAATACTGTAAATTATTTATTGAAGAAAAATAAAGTGTCATGTTGATATATTTTTGATGTTTGGGTTTTTGTATTCAGCTGTGTTGCTTTTTTTATTCATGTTTGACAATGAAAGTGACTTCACCACAGACTTAATGCAAGTACGTTGAGCTAAGACTGCCACCTAATGGTACAATAAGTACACTCAATATCCTGAACCATTTTAGACCACAGCCATGATCCTAGCTAAAGAGAACAATGTAGCCTACATTACCGTGTTCGAGCCCTATTGTAACTTTTGCTCTATGAACCGCAAATATTGTAGTCAAATGTGCTTTCCCCACTTATTATAAGGAATCAACAATTATAAACAAAAAGACTGAGCAAAAAGATTTAAAGGTTTTTATAACATGTTTCTTAACCAATTCATCATTATGATTCGAAAGCACGCGTTTCATGTAGGTTATATCTAACGAACGTTACCAGCAATAACAATATACACTCCTGAACAAAATCTTAAGACCGGGGGGAACATTACAAGTATTTGCATTTTGCACTGGTGGATCGTAAACCAGGTTGTAAGTACTGCTTCAAAATGCCAAAAGAAGAAACAGGAGCAAGAGACAAAAAGTAGAGAATAGGCAATTTATTGAAAACTGCATTTAAACTCCAACTGTTCATCAGCTGAACAAAAGTAAAAGACCATAGCCTTGAAAAGTTCAAATCTGTGCAAAAATATGTCATTTATGTCATTGTCCTTCAGGCAGTCACACTGTCATGATCTCCTGATGGCAAAGGCAAAAGGGCTTTCTGTGCCCTTTGAGGTTGGATGCAGTAAGTAAATTTCTTAAAAGATCCTGAGAGTTATGGGACAAATAAAGTCAAGTGGTAGACCCAAAAAAGATCACGCAAGATGGTCCAAAAGAGCGACATTATAATCCTGGAAGAAGTCAGGCGGACATTGTGAACTGTGTTGTCCTGTTGAAAATCCCAGTCATGACTCATTACCGCACAGACGGGGGCCCTCAGTCAAGAGGGATGCCCGCTGCAACATGTCCACATAGCCAGCCGCCGTTTGACGCACCTGCACAACCTGAAGCTCCATTATCCCATTGAAGAAAAAAGCACCTCAGATCATGATGGAGCCTCCTCCACTGTGCCACGTAGAAAACATCTCCAGTGGGATCGCCTTGTCATGCCAGTAACATTGGAAGCCATCAGGACCGGCATCCAGGTTCATTTTTTTTCTCATCAGAGAATAAAACTTTCTTCCACCTTTCAATGTCCCATGTTTGGTGCTCCCTTGCAAATTCCAAACAGGCAAGTTTGTGGCGTGGGAGGAGACGTGGCCTTTGAAGACGGTTTTTGTTCTTTAAGTCCTTCTCTCGCAGATGCCGTCTTATGATATAGACTTCATGCTCAGGACAGGGTTGTTTCATTTTTATGGGTCCCAGCACATGTTGGAATAGATGGAAACAAGATGGCAGATAAACATGCTAAAAGATCATTGAATAAAAATAATGTAGAAATTGATGTAAAAATCAGCCTGTTGCTACTCAAACCTGTACAATCCATCAATAAAACAATATAAAGACAGCCAGATGTGCAATAATTCTGGGCAATTGTTTGTTCACATGTTTGTTGCGGAGCGGATCATCAGCGTATGCCTTCGGTAGTATAAGTACAAGTAGTCCGCGTCCGTGCTGTCTGTGTACACGTCCGGATTGCTCATGCGGAAAGTATAACACAGGCTTAATAGTTCTATAGGCCATGTCTAGAGACTGTTGGAAAGGTCTTTATGGAAGATGAAGCCCACATAACTTCATGTTCATCATGTCCCATTTCTTCTAAGAACATCTATCACAACTGTCTTTTATCAGTGTTTGTTTTCTCTTAGTAAAAAGTTTGAGCTATGAAAATATGGTTTAGATATTAATGATACATAAAGAATCCTCTGAGAGACTTCACAGTAATTTATTCTTACACTGTAAAGTTTTGCGAGCCTTACTACTGCTAAGAAAGCTTGTGTTGTCGGTGCAGTTCATGGCTTTAAAGAGACTTTTGAAAGCATACAAAATGATTGTAATGACTTTTGTGTTTAAGTGTGCTTGTGTTGTCAGTGCTTTTTGGATTTATATGTGTAATGTGACATGTATATAAGTTTGTGTGATTTGGCAAATAATATTTTGTGCTGATTTTTTGGTACATCAGAGGGTGTGGTCAAATTTACCTTTAAGTAAAGGGATATTATGTACACAAGCACCACAAAAACATAAGATAAGGGACTTCTATCAACAATCTAATTTGGAACCAGAGTAAAACAGACATCATGTCCTTTAACTAAATACTAAGTAGGAAACGTGTGACTTGCGGTGTTAATGTGTTGTTTATTACAAAAGCACTTTATGTTTTTATTCTCTTTAACCTAGCTCTTACTTGGTTTTAACTTGATGGTGAAAGAGGTTATCAAACTTGTAATGCTAAAAAAATAAAAGTGAATGATAACATTTTCAAATGTATTAACATTGAATGGGAGATTCAGACCAGACAGCTTAGTCTGTTTTTGTATGTAGGACTAAAGCGGTGCCACACACCACCTGTAAATACTGTAAATTATTTATTGAAGAAAAAATAAAGTGTCATGTTGATATATTTTTGATGTTTGGGTTTTTGTATTCAGCTGTGTTGCTTTTTTTATTCATGTTTGACAATGAAAGTGACTTCACCACAGACTTAATGCAAGTACGTTGAGCTAAGACTGCCACCTAATGGTACAATAAGTACACTCAATATCCTGAACCATTTTAGACCACAGCCATGATCCTAGCTAAAGAGAACAATGTAGCCTACATTACCGTGTTCGAGCCCTATTGTAACTTTTGCTCTATGAACCGCAAATATTGTAGTCAAATGTGCTTTCCCCACTTATTATAAGGAATCAACAATTATAAACAAAAAGACTGAGCAAAAAGATTTAAAGGTTTTTATAACATGTTTCTTAACCAATTCATCATTATGATTCGAAAGCACGCGTTTCATGTAGGTTATATCTAACGAACGTTACCAGCAATAACAATATACACTCCTGAACAAAATCTTAAGACCGGGGGGAACATTACAAGTATTTGCATTTTGCACTGGTGGATCGTAAACCAGGTTGTAAGTACTGCTTCAAAATGCCAAAAGAAGAAACAGGAGCAAGAGACAAAAAGTAGAGAATAGGCAATTTATTGAAAACTGCATTTAAACTCCAACAGGCTGTTCATCAGCTGAACAAAAGTAAAAGACCATAGCCTTGAAAAGTTCAAATCTGTGCAAAAATATGTCATTTATGTCATTGTCCTTCAGGCAGTCACACTGTCATGATCTCCTGATGGCAAAGGCAAAAGGGCTTTCTGTGCCCTTTGAGGTTGGATGCAGTAAGTAAATTTCTTAAAAGATCCTGAGAGTTATGGGACAAATAAAGTCAAGTGGTAGACCCAAAAAAGATCACGCAAGATGGTCCAAAAGAGCGACATTATAATCCTGGAAGAAGTCAGGCGGACATTGTGAACTGTGTTGTCCTGTTGAAAATCCCAGTCATGACTCATTACCGCACAGACGGGGGCCCTCAGTCAAGAGGGATGCCCGCTGCAACATGTCCACATAGCCAGCCGCCGTTTGACGCACCTGCACAACCTGAAGCTCCATTATCCCATTGAAGAAAAAAGCACCTCAGATCATGATGGAGCCTCCTCCACTGTGCCACGTAGAAAACATCTCCAGTGGGATCGCCTTGTCATGCCAGTAACATTGGAAGCCATCAGGACCGGCATCCAGGTTCATTTTTTTTCTCATCAGAGAATAAAACTTTCTTCCACCTTTCAATGTCCCATGTTTGGTGCTCCCTTGCAAATTCCAAACAGGCAAGTTTGTGGCGTGGGAGGAGACGTGGCCTTTGAAGACGGTTTTTGTTCTTTAAGTCCTTCTCTCGCAGATGCCGTCTTATGATATAGACTTCATGCTCAGGACAGGGTTGTTTCATTTTTATGGGTCCCAGCACATGTTGGAATAGATGGAAACAAGATGGCAGATAAACATGCTAAAAGATCATTGAATAAAAATAATGTAGAAATTGATGTAAAAATCAGTAAAGCAGAATCAAAGGCAATTATTAAGCAAGCTGTTATTAAATCTTGGCAACATAAATGGGACAAATATAGGACAGGAAGAGCTAAATAAACTTATCACTGCATCTAAACCAACAACATGCCTGTTAGACCCTGTACCCACTAAATTACTAAAAGAGTTGTTACCTGTAGCAGAAGAACTGCTTCTCAATATTATTAACTTGTCATTGTCTTTAGGTCACGTCCCAAAACCTTTCAAGCTGGCAGTTATTAAGCCTCTTATTAAGAAACCACAACTAGATCCTAGTGAACTGGCAAATTACAGACCCATTTCAAATCTTCCTTTTATGTCTAAAATTTTAGAAAAAGTTGTGCCTGCGCAATTGTGCTCCTTCCTGCAAAAAAATTATCTCTATGAAGAATTTCAGTCAGGTTTCAGGCCCCACCATAGCACAGAAACTGCACTTGTTAAAATTACAAATGACTTGCCTCAGACCAAGGCTGCATCTCATTGCTAGTTTTACTTAATCTTAGTGCTGTGTTCGACACTATAGATCATGACATACTCATAGATCGATTACAAAACTATACAGGTATTCAAGGGCTTTAAGATGGTTTAGATCCTACCTGTCCGATCACTACCACTTTGTTCATTTAAATGGGCAGTCATCTCACTTATCACCAGTAAAATATGGAGTGCCACAAGGATCTGTCCTAGGTCCTCTGCTATTTTCAATATACATGTTGCCCCTTGGTAATATTGTTAGAAAATACGGGATTAGTTTCCACTGTTATGCCGATGATACTCAACTATATATCTCAACAAGACCAGATGAAACTTCTAAATTATCTAAGCTAACAGAGTGTTAAAAATGTAAAAGATTGGATGACCAATAATTTTCTCTTATTAAATTCGGATAAGACAGAGATATTACTTATT